AGAATATGTAGTTTAAACAGGTTTAAGCCTAATTCCTTGGACTTTCTTTTATGTTTCTGATATTTTGCAAGAGTTTTGACAAAAACAAGTTCTCAAGAATGAATATGACTGATGACTGTCAGTTTTAAAAACAAAACTGAAACCAGTTTCACATTTGTTAATCAAGTGTGAGCTTGATTGTAAGTTATGATTTCAATCCTGATACAAGTGCTAAATCCTCGATTCTTCAATAAAACCGGTTGGATCAATCCAAAATAAAGTATCGAATAAGTCTTCTTACTTTTAAGCTGCCACATGTGTATATCAAACACTAGTGAATCCCCTTATACAGTTAAAAAAGCTAAGTACCTTTTTGTAATCATATGAAATTCATCATGTAATTTTTTTTTATTCTCTACCAGGCAACTAAGAAACATGACATAATGACTTGATACTACTGAATACCAGGCAACATGAAACATGACATAATGACTTGATACTACTGAATACCAGGCAACATGAAACATGACATAATGACTTGATACTACTGAATATTGGGCAACATGAAACATGACAAAATTTAATCTCATAGCACCTATTTTGTACAAATTTTCTGGGGAAGCATGCACCCAGATCCCCATAGCACAATTGTGGTTGCTTTTGATCTCATAAAACTCCCCCCTGTGTACAGGAATTTTTTGAAAAGTACAGTTACTTTGTAAGTACTGGAATTTAAAATATAGCAAGAAAAGCACTCTTGTGAGGTTCATTGAGTGAGCTTTAGAATTTGACTTTCAATAAATTCTAACACATCTGATGAATCACCACAAGTCTACATTGTCACAATTTTATTAATGATAAATCAAAATTTTAATCCTTTAAAATTAGAAGTTTATGTTTTACTCGAAGATTACGTTTAAAAGTATGGTTGCATTAATAATATTATGTCCATGAATTCTGTTTGTATGTTTTTTATTTCATGTAAAGCTACTAAAGGGTTATCTGTAATGTTGTAGTGATAGACCAGAGGGAAGGAAGCTTGTCAACACTACTTATAGCCAACTCTTGACTACCAATGAATAGTGGGATTCACCATCACATTACAATGCCCCCACAGCTGAAAGGGGCAAGCATGTTTGAGGAAAGTATTCAAACTAGCAACCCTCAGACTGCAACTTAAATGCCCTTACCACGAGTCCATGCCAGGTTAAAGCTTTGGGCTATATTTAGTGCTTTAATGTGTTAAGATGAACAAAGAAATTTGGCATTATGAAGGAAAGCAATTTCATCTGCTTGTAACATGCTACATAATATCTTCCTCAAAATAAAGTGTAACTCAGCAAATCCAACATAAGATCCACTTATTAGGTTAAGATGCCAGGTTTTCACTTACACACCAAGATGAGTTAATCCATCTGTCAAGTTATTTTATGTGGATGGGCCTGATTCTTTACAGTAGGTGTCTGTAACTTACTGGTGATAAATTTGAACAATAAACAAACAGCACATAGTCCACTTGTTTTAAAATAATATATTAAAATAAGTAAAACGTATATACAAATGTTTGTTACACAGTTAATTACCACAGTTGTATCCAGAGCTATAAATAACTGTCTCCTTTCATCAAACATCCACACAGGTTTGTTCAATTACTTTACAAAACACTTGACAACACAAATTCTTCTTCTCTACCCTGTTTTACAATACAATCTGTGATAATTTCACTTTAAAAAGAAGCACCACTATATGATCTAAACTCACAATCACACAGTATAGATAAATCTAACTTTATAACTAACTTGAACTACAGTTTGGATGCATATTTATAAATAGCCCAACTGAGGCTTAGAAGTTTCCAAATACTACACAATACTATAATTTAATAATACTTGAGAAAAACTTAGAAGGTTTCAGTAACATGATGCAATGATAAAATAATTGCCAATTTACGACAACTGAGCTACACGATGTATAATCCACACGGTTACATAAACAAACCAGCAATAAACCATCACTTCTAAACCTACTAAATTTAATACTCAAGCTATAGTTAAATTAACATGGTCATGTATATCTAACACCATCAGGAAAAACCATAAAGATGAAGAGTTCGTACATCACTGATGAACTTCTTAACAGCTATAGTGCCAAGTTTTGAGCTTCACACTAGTATGAATTAACCCACTTTCAAAACTACTAGGATGTACAGAGTTCTTGAGTCACTGGTTAATTTAAAACCTTTTAATTACAAACAGATCAGTCCAACACCCATGGGCCTGATTAGTTCAATCCCACCAGTCAAACCTATTCTATACAGTAAATTCATAAAAGCAAGGCTAATGATGTTGATACTGCACCATATACCAGTCAAGAATGAAGTAGGTACAAAGATGTTTCTAATACTGAAATAAAAAATGGTCTTTGATAAGGTGACCGAAAATTTATCACACGAAATAATTTCCTTCAGCAGTGGAAACTACTTTTTAAAAGTACAATTTTTAAGAAGACAATTGGTTTTCAAAAGCAATATCTTTCATCCAACTCGGTCTTGTTTCTACCTAAAATACCATATGGTACAGGATGTCAAAACAACAACTGACTTCATCCTCTTCTTCACACTTTACTAAAATATTCAGTAACAGAAACTACTACTGATCTGACATGTTTATAGACCATACTGCGTAGAGAATAAAAACAAAATTTACTAACCTTTCCTCTTTTAACCTGGGTTTTAGTTGGTACGGGACATATTATAAGGTCTGAAGGAAAGGAGGTAACAGGAAACTGTGGAATGACTTTAGTTTCAGCAAATTCTTTTTGTTGCAAAGCCTGCAATTTCTGGGTAAGTCGTTGCTGATGCTTCACTTGAGCATTTCTTTTTTGTTTTAATTCACTTTTCTAAATACAAAAAAAAAAACAATTAAATCAAAGTAAACTACAAGAAATGTATATATATATCTATAAATATATATATATACAAGAAATATATGTTACTTTCATTTACTGAGTGTCTTCTTTTTGAAAATACTTGCTTCATGACATCTATAGTGTCTAAAATAAAAACACTAACTTGTTTACGCTCAATATCTTCTGCAATCTTGGGCTTTCTTCTGTGCTTCTGAGCTCCACTAGGAGATGGTTTACTACTGGCTGTGGAACTAACCAATAAGGGAGCTGTAGACGACAATGGGATACAGGAATTATCTGTACAAAAAATCTCTTCTGTTTGAAGGGTCATTGCACTATCCTCATGTTTTTTGATACACAAGTCCAGAGGAGTGGGCATTGAGTCACTGTCTTGTTCCGGACATGTTTCTGACGTTAAACAAAGAGAGGTGCTAACGTCATGGGCTGGACTAGGAAAGTCTGGTCTAGCTTTTAAATCCAGAGGCTCTAGATCTTCATCCTGTGATAAAAATAATGAGCTTGAAATATTTCTTAGGCTTTCCATACACTATCTGCTAACTTAAGAGTACTTCATACTTGTCTTTCCTATCAGCACTCTTGTATCTAAAACAAATTTATTTAGAAGTGCTCTAGACTAGTTACAACAATTCAACTTTGTTGTTGTCTTACCCAAAAGCACCTCAAATAGTAAATATTCGAGAAGTGCTCTAGACTAGTTACAACAATTCAACTTAGTTGTTGTCTTACCCAAAAGCACCTCAAATAGTACATATTCGAGAACTGCTCTAGACTAGTTACAACAATTCAACTTAGTTGTTGTCTTACCCAAAAGCACCTCAAATAGTACATATTCGAGAAGTGCTCTAGACTAGTTACAACAATTCAACTTAGTTGTTGTCTTACTCAAAAACACTTTAAATAGTACATATTCGAGAAGTGCTCTAGACTAGTTACAACAATTCAACTTAGTTGTTGTCTTACCCAAAAACACTTCAAATAGTAAATATTCGAGAAGTGCTCTAGACTAGTTACAACAATTCAACTTTGTTGTTGTCTTACCCAAAGGCACCTCAAATAGTAAATATTCATCAGTCAAAAAAATTGTTAAATACTAAATATGAAATATTAATTCAACTACAACTAAACATGAAATATTAGCTTAACTAAAGGTAAATGTGAAATATTATTTAACTGAAGCTAAATATTATCTTAGAAGTAAAATAGTTCTTTAAAGCAAATATTCAAAATACATAATGTATTTTCTAACAAAATGTTCGCAGCTATGGAATATAAACTCCCTGCTTTTAATGTCTAAATCTTGTCATAATGATTTTATTTTTTGAATAATTAAACTTCAAAAATACCATAGACAACTAGAGTAAAAAAGTTTTAAAGATAACGAAAAGTAAAACCATAATATTAATCTACCAGTTGTGCAAAGCTAATACCATTTTTGAACTTGGAACAAAATTTACCCCAATTTATTATTCAAAAAATAATTCTTAAAATAAAATAAAAACAGCTTAGACTTCAGAAGTCATTTTACTACTCATCTTTAAAAACCTGACTGGTTTACAAATAAAACTATACATCAAGTCAAAATGTATTAAGTTACACACTTCTTATGAGGAACTAGCTTCTAATGTAGAAGACCAGAACAGGTGGTTACACAAGGATTTATTTACACAAACAATAATAAATAATTCATCCAACCAATCAGTTACAACAACCCTTCTCACACAAACTTATCCAGGTTTTTTACACACACCATAATAACTAACTTATTTATCCTTTAATTTAAAAATAATTCTTCTCACTTCATCTGATGGAGGTTCGTCATTGGGACTTTCATCCATATGTTTCCCTAAATAAAGTTGTGTCTCCTGATGCTCACTTGAGTTATTTCTTTGAGGCGGGTGAGTTGTGACATCACCAGAATCACTAGTGGTACTACCACTTGCACTATCACTGCTAGAACTGTTGCCCGAGTCATTACTGCTGTCATTTGAATCATCCGATTGGCTTTCATTGTCTGAGCTAGTTTCTTCAGGCGGAGCTCCTTCAGGCTATAAACATATATTTTATTATCACATCAGCTTATAACTTATTAATAAAGTTTTAAAATGTAATTACCATTTCTTTCCTAACACTACAGGTTATATATTTATTTATTTATGTGTGTCTAGTAATATCTGAACATTTTTGTTACAAGTTCTCTGTAGAATTACATACTAAAGAATGGTATAAAACCGATAAAGAAATAAACGCACTGAAGGATTGTATTTATTTTTATATAAAAACATACAATGTAATCATTATTATCTAGCATCTGTGGGACTTGTGCTGTGCCAGATAGGTGAAAATTTTGGTTATGATAGCATTTCTTTATAACATTTTACAGGAAAAATTTTGACAATTTGTTAATGCTCTAAAGTACAGTATTTCTACATCATCTATAACAATAACAGTTTTAAACAATAATAAATGTTTTAAAAACCCTAAGCTGTATAAAAACATTTACAAGTAGAATATGTTTTAAGTACAGTAATATTGGCAGCTTGCCAGAGGGAAAGAACATAAACAAAGCCACAGCATCATCAATTAACGACAGTCGCAATCTTTTGAGAAGCTTCGAGAGACATTCCAAGTGACACTGTAACGAATGCCAGTTCCTACAATAAATAGTTGAATTTGGAGATATTGAAATTTCTGGTTAAAAGAGCTTTCCAGATGCAAAGATGCCAGATAAAGTTTTTACTGTAAATATAGATTTATTTATATAGTCAGTAATTCACTTTTACGCTAATAATAAATTAATGTCACTTATAACTTAATCATTTCTAGCTCTTTTTTTTTTTAGAAGTTTAAATCATTTGTTAAACATTAAACAGCTATTATTCTGTTTTGGTTTTGTTTTTGCTTTATACATATCATTCCAACAATGTCCACAAATGCTGAAATAATTAACAGAGTTTAAATTTATATAAAATTACACTTGAAAAATAAAACATTTTGAAACTGACCTGCTTCTTACGGTATTTTCCTTTAGTTTTTGTAATAACAAGTTTCTGAATTCCATTGCTTGATGACTTCCACGTTTCCAGGGGTTGTGCTGGGCTGGGGGTTTTGTCTTCTGTCTCTATAGGTGATTTGGAAATCACTCTGAAATCAGTTTTATTCTCTTTCTCCATGAGGGTTTGTTCTGGCAGAGGTGAGGCTGCTTCTTGTAGGGTTTTATCCGATAAACTTGTTGAAGAATTAGAGAGGTCACCATTTTCTTTAAACAGCTCACTAGAATATAGCATTAAGCAAAGTTACCTTGCAAAAACACATCTACCTAATATTTACAAGTAAACAAATCTGAAAAAAAGCAAAACAAAAATATGGGAGTAATGCAACTAGAACTGAAGGTTTAGAGTAGATTTGTAATGTTGTGAATAGATCAGAACTGTTAAAAATTATCACTTGTACCGATATACCACCAAATAACGACAATTTATAACGTGGTCCAACAAATGTTACATGTCTCACTAACTTATACTGACACATCACCAAATAACAATTTATAATGTGGTCCAACAAATGTTACATGTCTCACTAACTTATACTGACACATCACCAAATAACAACAATTTATAATGTGGTCCAACAAATGTTACATGTCTCACTAACTTATACTGACACATCACCAAATAACAATTTATAATGTGGTCCAACAAATGTTACATGTCTCACTAACTTATACTGACACATCACCAAATAACGACAATTTTTAATGTGGTCCAACAAATGTTACATGTCTCACTAACTTATACTGACACATCACCAAATAACAATTTATAATGTGGTCCAACAAATGTCACATTTCTCACTCTTTGTACTAATTCATGAGTCTTTTCAAGGGCTAATAAAATTAGGAGAAAGAAATCAGCCCACCTCTCATCTCTGAACCAGATTAATGAAACAGATCATTATATTCTGTTAAACCATTTATGAACTTTTTCAACTAACTGAAGTTCAGGAATTTTTCATAATGACTTTTGTGTAACTTGAATGTTATTGTGACAGTAACAGACTTTAAATCCACTTCTAGTACCTACTGCTTTCCAAAACACAATCTTCACTCAGGAGTGTATGTCATGGTACAAACAACCTTCACTCTCTGGAGTGTATGTCATAGTATAAACAATCTTCACTCTCAGAGCTGTATGTCATGGTACAAACACAATCTTCACTCAGGAGTGTATGTCATAGTACAAACACAATCTTCACTCTCAGGAGTGTATGTCATAGTACAAACACAATCTTCACTCTCAGGAGTGTATGTCATGGTACAAACACAATCTTCACTCAGGAGTGTATGTCATGGTACAAATACAATCTTCACTCAGGAGTGTATGTCATGGTACAAATATAATCTTCACTCAGGAGTGTATGTTATGGTACAAACACAATCTTCACTCAGGAGTGTATGTCGTGGCAAACACAATCTTCACTCAGGAGTGTATGTCATGGTACAAACACAATCTTCACTCAGGAGTGTATGTCATGGCAAACACAATCTTCACTCAGGAGTGTATGTCATGGTACAAACACAATCTTCACTCAGGAGTGCATGTCATGGTACAAATACAATCTTCACTCAGGAGTGTATGTCATGGCAAACACAATCTTCACTCAGAAGTTTATGTCATGGTACAAACAACCTTCACTCTCAGGAGAGTATGTCATGGTACAAACAACCTTCACTCTCAGGAGAGTATGTCATGGTACAAACAGCCTTCACTCTCAGGAGAGTATGTCATGGTACAAACAACCTTCACTCTCAGGAGAGTATGTCATGGTACAAACAACCTTCACTCTCAGGAGTGTATGTCATGGTACAAATACAATCTTCACTCTCAGGAGAGTATGTCATAGTACAAACATGATCTGCACAAGATGTGTCCACTAATATACAGAGTTTCTCAATGTTCAAGTACTTCTTACTTAGCCTTCATCATAAAAATACTTGAACAAAAGAAAAAACACTGAATTACACCAAGTATCGTATTGATGTGGTAATGGAAAGTAGCCTTGTTTGAACAAAAAACACTTGAATTACACCAAGTAGCACATTGATGTGGTAATGGAAAGTAGCCTTGATTAAGGTAGATACAAAGATGAGATCAGTATGTAGCAGAACCTACAAATTAAGGTAGATACAAAGATGATATCAATATGTAGCAGCACCTACAAATTAAGGTACATACAAAGATGAGATCAATATGTAGCAGCACCTACAAATTAAGGTAGATACAAAGATGAGATCAATATGTAGCAGCATCTACAAATTAAGGTAGATACAAAGATGAGATCAATATGTAGCAGCACCTACAAATTAAAGAAGATACATGGATGAGACCAAAATGCACAAACACATGTGTTCTAAAGTGATACATAAAAAGGACCAAAATGTAGTTTCATCTGCGAACTAAATAAAGTAAAGAGACGAGGGCATAATGAAGCAGGTTCAGTGTACATTCCATTAAAAAACACAAAACCATGCAAATGCAGAAGGTTCAAAAAACATTTCAAAACTACTTCTATGTACAAAAATAAGTGCTGGTTTTAGAAAAATTGTTGCAAAAAAAAAGACAAATACATCAACTTTTAGGTAGAGTAAACATAAACACAATAGATGAGCATCATTTACTTTTTTTCAGAAGCACAAATACTCGAAGTTACTTGTGTGTAAATTATAAGTGTAATGATAGTAATATGTTGTGCACATCTACTGTTACTGCAAATCAGAAGAAAGGAATTAAATATTCACCTTTTATCCTCCAAAGTTGGCAATGAAGTATTTATAAGAGTCTTAGAGGAATGATTATCAGAGGCTGGACCATTAACATCTGCAAATAGAGAAAAATACAGTATTATAATGTTAAGTAAAGCCTTTTATTTCCAAACAAACACTGCATCACCAGCATAATAATCCAAAACTTTATAATGTTAAGAAACTTTTTTTATTGCCAAACAAGCAGTGAATTATTAACATAATGATCCAATTAGAGAAAACAAAACTTTAAAAATGTTAAGTAAGGCATTTTTCTTTCAGGCAAACACTGCACTACTAATATGATAATCCAGAGCTAATCCAACATTATCGTGTATCAAAACAGAGGCATTGCTAGGCACTGGCACATAGGGCCCATGCCCCAAATCCCCAGTTGGTGTCTTGAAAAATCAGAATAGGAAACCATGATCAATATCATACTGAAACACCAAAAATTCCCACACCTATAGGCCCCGAGCCCCAAATCTTTTAAGCACCTAGCAATGCCTCTATATAAAAACATCAGGAAAATGGCCATGACGGAATTACAATAACATCATATTCATATAATAATTATTATTTTCACACTATATTTCAAAACATTAACATTTTCTGAAATCAAAATTGTATTTCCAGTAATATTTACCTCCATTCACACTACAGCTATTATTTGACTACTGGAGTTTCTTCCTTTGGCCATCTAAACATTGACTGATTTTTTATCACTTGCTCCAGTCTTTAATTCTCCATTTAATTGCCCTTGGTAGTATCTGTTTCGTGACACTCTCAACCTACTTTAAAGCGTCCTCTATCTTGGTACTGCATATAAGCATCTCCTTCAGATAATACTATCACTTTTTCAAGACTGACCCAATCCATAGTCTTTAACGCCGGCTCTTAGTCAGTATTATTGGAAATACATTTTTGATTTACGAAAATGTTAACTTCCAAAACATACTTACCTCCTCTCTCACACTATAGCTAGAATCCCACATTGAAAAGATGGAGGAACCAGTGAAGGCATTATCGATACAGAAAGCAACTGCATAGATCGTGGTCGTGCCAACAGAAGATTAGCACTCTAGGGGAGGAACCACACTACAGCCAGAACAAGTATGCTCTTCACCCAGAACCTAAATCATGCACTGCAGTTAGAATTTGACATGATCCAATTAACGAGACCCCAACCAGGTAGCCGAGGTCCCACTGCTTGGGATTGGAATTATAGGGCCATAGGCACTATATTCCAAGATGGTGGCTAGTACATTTGGACCCCAATAGACATATTTGTGAGTGGATCCCAACTTGTAGCTATAGAGTGATGTATTCCGAGCCACCGGAATCACGACGAGAAGGTAAGCAACACTGGAGTGGACAAACCCTCTCCTCAACCTGAAGAAGACCGAAAGGCAACACCTCAAACTCGCATGATGGGATCCTGTATGCCTTACTCAACCTGAGGAAACAGAACTCATCTAGTCTGGAATTATGAACACTCATCCACACTCTCCAACTGTGTGAACAAGGTAAATACCACTTGCCCCAGAATTATGGGGAGGACGTGGAACAAACTGTGCTTAACCAAAGAACCAGGATGGGACCACTCTACATTCGGAATTACGAGGAGACAATGGACTCTCTTCCAAAAACAATGTATTGAACCAATATTGATCAAAAAGAAGGGCCATGCTCAACCCAACCAAGTAGCATCAAATCTGAACTGGTATTACAAGTAGGTCCCCGTGTAAATGGTGTTGCCCCTGCTGACATCTGTGGAAAAACATCCAAAGGTCCTGGATAGGATGGCCCCCAACTTCACTCTCTTCTCCAAGAGTGGAGGAAAGTCACTCAAACACTCTGGAGGAATAACCTCTGTCCACCATCCCAGTGTTGCTCCTGCTGACATCTGTGGAAAAACATCCAAGGGTCCTGGATAGGATGGCCCCCCAACTTCACCCTCTTCTCCAAGAGTGGAGGAAAGTCACTCAAACACTCTGGAGGAATAACCCCTGACCACAATCCCTGCCTTGCTCCTGCTTTCAGCTGTTGAAGAGTATCCTAGGACCCTGTCT